CCTGTAGAATTTAATGTGTCAAGTATTTCTGATGCACCCTCAAGGCATAATAAGTAAAGGGCATGATACTTCTCAGCGCATGAAAAGAAATAATACAGAAATATTATTTTCCAAATAAGTTAAAAAATATCATAAAATGACATTATTTATAAGATGCACAAAGAAAATAAACAGATGGACTTATAAAAATTAACCTAAAAAAAAGGTGTCATTAATAAATGTGTGAAATGGCATGAATGAAGAAACGGTGTTGTCAAATGTGTGCCCTGGTACGTGGGCTATTTTCAAGATGGAATACTTACTGCCCAGGAGCAGCATTGGGTCAGGTCTCATTCAATGTCTCAATGAACAATTACAAGCACTTTTCTACAAAAGCAGTTATGATTCACCTCACAGTTACAATTCAACTCAGAACTGTGGGTACCCACAGTTATCCCCTGCACAACTATGTCCACAATTCTAGTTGCATATTTGCCATGATGGTTCAACAAGTAAACAAATATATTAGAAAAAGAAACAAAATAATTAACCAACCAACTGGCTTACAGTGGAAAGAGCAAAAGGAGAACAAATAGGAAAAAACTAAATAAATATAATAAAACCCAGACACAAGAAAATCCAAGAGGACCTAAATAAAAAATTGAACCTACCTGCTGCACCAGAGAGCGAGAGAGAGAGAGCTCATTAGGTTTAATCTCTAACTGATATTTTATATCATGTATATGAGTTGGGAAGTCATGAGCTAAGGAAGCTTCTTCTAGGCAGATAAGGAAGGTTGATCATGACCGAGTTAAAGTGAGGAGTCAGTTTCAGCTTCCCTGGCCACAACTAGGTCTGAAATGATCTTGTCCATTCATTTTGTTGTGGTTTAGGTATTAATGAACTTATTAATTCCCAACCACGAAATTAAAAAAATAGAGAAAGAAACAAAGAAACAAAGGAATTTGAGATTAAAGCTTTTACTATGCCACCCAAAATTGAGATTAAATCTCCTCTATGAAGCAACATCAACTGATCCACCAATATTTTGACGTCAAATGTATTCACATAGTATACAGCAAATAGAAGTTGGACCAGCTGGTGGTGCGGAGAATAAAGAACTCCCTTTTTTTAGAAAGACAGAGAAATAAACATATGTACATTTCGCATCATGTGCGCAAGTATGACAATATCATAGCTGATATGCATGTCAGTGCTGATGTCTTGTGCTGGAAACATTTGTCTGTACATCAAATACCTCACTCATTGCATCTGCAACACAACACCTTATAAAGTCTTCATAGAGATCAGCTGCTCGTTGTATTTCAGGTGCATCAGCCCAGTATTCTAGTATCAAAAGAGCATACTCACAACACCTGCAATAGAGCAAATAAAAGAGAAGGAAAAAAGGAAAAATAAATTGCATTGACTGAAACAATGACACAGAAAGTATCATGTAGAAGAAGCACAATCATACCTTGCACGAAGTACTGCATTACGGTCATTCTTCGCACAATCAGCTATACGATAAAGAACACGGGCAACTTTGCAATTACGCAACATCTAGAAAGACAAGTTGGTTAAAAATGAAGAAAAATATCCATCAAGAAGGAAGGTACCCAATAAAATTTATTGAGCTAAACAATACCGTTTTAATGCAGTTATCTGCAGACTCTGCAATCACAAGGACAGTTATCACAACAAGCTTGAAAAGGACCTGGGGTTCAGACCACAGTCAGAAGAATGTTTGAGCGTATCAAGAACCCAACAATTGATAAGAAAAAAAGGTGTACTTACCGGAATGAACATTTCAGCACACGCTTCAAAATCTCCCAAGAGCTCTTTGGATAAGAAGTTTAATAAGTGGCAAGCCTAGCAAAATAAAAGAAAACAGCTTCACCATGGCTACGATTTTGGCAAGCACTCACAAAATACAAAAACACCAGACTAATCCACTGCTGAATATAATGGATTTAGTTTTCAAGCTGCAAATGATCATTTTCTGTGGGATTCAAGCACAATAATAAAGACAACAGAACTAGTTGCCGGAGCCTCTATCTCAATAATATGCTTAAGCTTTAAGCAGGCTTCGAGGGATTGGAGCAGGCAGATAAATATATGTATGCATGTTAAATATTGGATGACTGAAAACTGAATTTTTCTAATTTTCATTCTTTAATAAACCACAATTGTTTCACAATACTCGAATCTCACAAACAAAATAAGGACTACTAATTTTTGGAACAAGCAAAGATTCCAGCTCATTCACTAATGAATTTCTTGTGAAAAAAAATGGCCATTAGTTTTTTCGAAACCTTCATTAAATAAATCTCATACTAAATTTCCAAGAGATAATTTAACAAAGGGAATTTTGTCACTTCTAATGAATTACAAAGGTGTCCACAAACAGAAATTATAATTTATTGACAACTCAAACCTGTCTGAAGCTTGCTCAGGAACTGTGACATTTTGCTTGGAACGCAATGAAAGATTAATCTAGTTAAATTTAGTTCATCAAAATGGGTTGGGATTGTAAACAAGACACCACAGGAAACAGTTAAGAATGGTATCAATTTGGATGAGTTGTGGTACAGTAAGAAAAATGTGGAAGGTACCCTACTAAGGAGCACAGCACACATATTATTTGATGTTTCAAAGAGGACAAATCATCAAAATAGAAATTAAAATTTATGATAAAAAATTGCAACTAGTGGTAAAAGAAGCTTGAAATGACTAGATGGTTTGAAATTTATAGCTGCAAACCACTAAAACCAGAGCTCCAAAACACAATAATCTCAACTTCTCAAATATCAATGCAAGATTACACAAACAAAAAAGAGACAACTAATCAGCACATTTTTCCATCAGAATAAGATTTTATAGCTTAACTAAAGTTTTCTTTTTTTAAAGCAAAACAAAGAAAACCCAAAGCTATCCTGTATTTTACTTCAACTGGATTCCAGTAAATTAGAGTGACCAAACAATCAAATGAAGCTACAATCTACCCATGGCTAATTTTAATCAGCAACTCCCTCACCCACCAACCTCCTTCGCCTAAAAAAGGAGAAGGCTTTATAATAACATTTTAAAATTCACAAAAATTCTACAACACCTGCTTTACTATGCTAGATCTTCGGTCTGACAATTGCGTGCTCAGTGGGCCAACAAGTTGTTTCAGAAGTCCACGGAAACACGGGTAATCAACTGCACCTGATAGAACAAAATAGTTGACAAACAATATATCAATATAACTTCCTCAAGTATTACAAAACCATGCTATGTTACAAGGCCAATGCCATATTAGATGAATAAAAGGTACAGTGAATCTCCTCACCAACTAACATGAAAAATTCTGTAATGATACCTTTTTTTCTTAATGGAAAACAGGCACCAAACAAAGATAAAAATAAACAGCTGCACAATGATTGCAGGAACAGAGATTCTATCCACGCACAATACCTCTTGTTTATTTTTCCATAAACCAGTAACGTAGTTTCTCTGATAACAAGACAAACAAAAGCAATGCAAAAACCAAGTAGTGCCAGGCACACCAATGAAACAATCACCTAGGTTTGCCTAGGCCTTGGGCTAGGCATGGAGTAAATTAGCAAATGCATCAAATGTGAAAGCAATACAGTAGCTAAAAGGGTAATTCATAAAGAGAAAAAAGCAAAACAAAAGGTTTCCTTTTTTCTTTTTTACTAGGGGTACATCAAAAGGATATATAATAGTCAAATTGATGCCTCAAAAGAATATTAGTAAATCATTGAGGTTGCAGAGCAATGAAACTTTACCAGATACACCCTTTATATGTCTGCACATGAACAGCAAAAAAAACACCATTTCATAATGTGATATGGGGATAAATTATGAAATGCACTGAAGTAGTTTTTGTTGCCAATTTTGTAGGTATAAGCTAGTGGGGATTTTGCAGTGATCAATGGGCTCAAAGAACCACATGTTTGAAAGAAAAGGCAATTTTTACCTTTTTTTTTGTGCGCACACTTGTGTGAGTCTGTGTTTGGAGTCCTACTCCATAGTAGGGTACGTGAGTCTTCTTGTTGGTCAAATTATGTTATTGGGTCATTACATCGGGCTTTTATTAGGTGTAGAATATTCTAATTGATAAAAACTTCTTTCTATTATTGATTCTTAATTAGGCAAAGTGTAGCAGCCTAGAATTACATACAAACTATGTCATGGTTGTATTACATAAAATGTTAATATTATGGACATTCGAATTAGAGCTCATGTGGTTGTCCTGTAAATTTGAATAAGGCCATTCAGAATTGGCTTGTTACAAATGTGATAACCAAAAGTGTCGGGCTTTATTATAAAATGAAACAACTCAAAATTTATAATTTCACTTTCTTTGTTAATTTACATTTCTTTATCTCTTTTAAGACATAAAATTACCTAATCTCAGAGATTAAATTTGAGTCAACTCATTTAGAAATTCATTAGTTTTGAATCAGTTAATTTAAAATTGAATCATTTAGAATTGTGCATCCAACAAAATCCTATGTGTTTTCTGTTTTCTTCATCTGTAAAATGACACCATTCTCAGGTTCCCATTCACAACCCAAGAGTGGTCCCCTCTCTCAACCCTAAAACACCATCCAATCAAGCCAAATCTTATACCTTTCATCTAAACCAAAAACTTTTATCCTCCTCACCCCACCAAACATCCACTTGTTCTTTAGTCTAGGTTTCCTACAGCTTCCTACACCACAACAATTCATTTAAACAAATAAAATACATGCACACCACGATTTTTTTTTATCAAACATGCCTCATTCCTTCAAAACATTTTATAAGAAACCCCATATTCAACCTTTCTAACAATTCAGGCCTTTTTTTTGAACTCTTACATTCATAATTTCTCTTTTTTTCTTCTAATCACAATTTTATTTTAGAAGACACAGTGAACAAATGATTTCATTAAAATATCACAAGACAATTAAAGCATTAAAAATAGTCTTAGGGGTTGTTTGGGATGATTTAAATAAGTGCACTTTGACTTTTTATGAAATATGGGTTGGGTTAGTGATATGATAGAGAGGTAATGTGACTTAAATAAGATGATATGACTTAAATAGGATAGTAACTTTTTGATTTTTTGACTTTTTTAGGTTATGACAAACAAGGCCTTAATTTAAAAGGAGGACAGGCAACAGACCTCCAATTACAAGACCTTCAACTTTCTGCATAGCTCCAATGCGAACAGACCAATCTTTCTCAGGTACAAGAGTCGAAGCAATTTTCTCAAATTCCCTTATAAGCTCCTTCTCCGAGTAAACTTTAATTGGGTCTACTGGTTTTTCTGTGACATCACTATCTCCTGAACATCACAAAGAACAAACCAAAGTTAACACCAATATTTCACTATCACAGCATCATCAATTATTATCATTCAATTATAGATTAAGTTATACTTAGTTTCATGTATCATTCGGCTCCAAGGCACTAAACTAACAATGTGATCTCATCAAATATATGCTATATGTTGTAAATTCATGCATGAGCAACGATTATATAAATTTTGCACATGAAAGGAAAAATAATAATACAATCACCTAGGTTTGCCTAGGTCTTGGGTGCTCTACTGAATTTTCTACAATATCCCCCACCAACATTGGGGCTTTGCACTCCAGCAAAATCCATAGGTAAGGCTACACATACACCTAGACCCGATCCATACCACAGAGCATCATTGACGATCCTCGCATAAAGAAAGATTTAATACCTTGCACATTGCCTATTAGTCTGATGGTGTAGAGAGATAGAGCACATTGGTGGATCTTCATATAATAAGAAGGCAAAGACTGATTATAACATGGGAAAAATCAGCTCATCTAAGAACCTAAACTTAAAACTTCCTTATAGATTAAGGTATACTTAGTTTCATGTATCATTCAGCTCCAAGGCACTAAACTAACAATGCGATCTCATCAAATATATGTTATATGTTGTAAATTCATGCATGAGCAACGATTATATAAATTTTGCACATGAAAGGAAAAATAATAATACAATCACCTAGGTTTGCCTAGGCCTTGGGTGCTCTACTGAATTTTCTACAATATCCCCCACCAACATTGGGGCTTTGCACTCCAGCAAAATCCATAGGTAAGGCTACACATACACCTAGAACCGATCCATACCACAGAGCATCATTGACGATCCTCGCATAAAGAAAGATTTAATACCTTGCACATTGCCTATTAGTCTGATGGTGTAGAGAGATAGAGCACATTGGTGGATCTTCATATAATAAGAAGGCAACGACTGATTATAACATGGGAAAAATCAGCTAATCTAAGAACCTAAACTTAAAACTTCCTTACCTTCAATAAATCTCATGGCACAACCAGTAAATGATGTATACGCACATATTTATAGGTAACAAAACTTAGTGATTCAATCACCTAGAAAGCCAAAAGTGGACTACAGGGAAAAGGAAATAAATAATAAAAACCTCACTATTTAAAGAGTAAAGAATTAACCAGAATTAATATATATATATTGAGGCAAATTCGACATTAAAACCCTGCACACACACTGACCAAGCCAGCCAAATTTTCAGACTACCCTAAAAATCATGAAATATCAAAAGTAACTGAAACAAAAGTATCCTTTTCCTGAATAACACCACTAACAAATTTGACAATAGAAGAAAAATAAAAGCCAATGCTACAAGCATCCAACACTTGAAGGAACAGTTTAACCCTCTCAAATGTCCCTCTATTCCATTCTTTCCAAACAAACTAAAAATTACAGTACAATAATCCTCCACACCATGCACCAACCTTGCTCCAACCTTAAGGATATCAACCACAAAGTATATAGGCAATATAGTTTTTGACATAACCTAGCAAACTCAAACCAATTGACAAAAATACAGTAAGTTAATAGTCTTAGATATTTAAGTGATCAATGCATACAGTAATGCGATGCATCATACCAAGTAGGAATGGGCAATAACAAAATATAAGATGTGGAGAAAGAACTTTTCATATGAATTCATAAATATGTCAACAACCACCAAATATCCGTGAAGTTTTAGATTGAAGCACATAAACCTCCAAACATAGACACCTCCCGAGTGGAATTCTTGGCTTTTGGACTGCTCCTTTTGGGATTAAGGTTAGCAGGCTTCATCTCAACAGCAGAATAATTATTTGTAAGTCCATCTGATGAGTGAACTTTTGGCTCAATTCTCTCTAGCCTGGCATTAATATCTCTTAACTGCAATTTAATACCATATTAATCAATAAAGTTGAGTGATAATATCAACTAAATAAGGCTCAAATTTTATCCTACACTAAAACATCATCATCTAAAATTGAAACATATATAAACATAAAACCTCAATCTCAGGAGTTCTTGATCTTGAAAGTATTGGGCGAAGGAGAGAGCAGATTCAAATAGCTTTGCATACAAATTATACTCACCAGTGATGTGGGAAGATGATGACGCTGAAGTTCATCACGAAACTGAGGCCCAGCCTGAGTATACATCTCCTGAGAAGGGAACAAAAATCAGATAAATTCCCTAACAAAACAAACTTGAATAATTGAGCAGAAAAATTCAGAAACTCTTATTCATTATCCAGAATAAAAATAAAAGATGCAATCTTCTCTACATACTATCTTATTACCTCCTCATTCTTCCAAACAACTTCCCATAGAACATTCTTTATAAGCACCCTATGTATACAACACATACCACTACTAACAAAGTTGTTTTAAATGCATAATATGATGTTCAAACTTTGCATATATCCTTCTACTAAGTTTCAGCTCAAGTTATAGGAAAGCCTCAGGAATGAAAGGTGCTCGATATCCTTCTACCATTGAAGAAGCAGAGGTTGATTTGACTGGGGCTTAATTATCAAATTTATAATTAGAAGACAATGGAAATGGTTCATTAATAATTCAAAGAAGCATTAAAGCAGCATCTCGTCGTCAGAACAAATTTGAATTTTCAATAGAGTGAACAGTTTGAGTTAAATGTCCAATGTTTAGGGTAGCTTCTACCACAGATTTGATTTGTTGCATAGGCTCTCATGTCTCATCAAATTACTCATTCGTTGCTGTCTGGTCATAGAAACCCCTTCAAGCCATCTTGCGCAGAGGAATCAATAGTAAAAAAACTGCCACCCCGTAAAACAAAATTGGAATCTTGGAGGCTCAGATAACTCCCTCAAGAGCACCATTATTAAAACTAATTTCCCTTTTCAAGCAACCCCCAACATACACACACACACAAAAAAAAAAATTAAATTCCTTAAAAGAGCAATAAAGTTTTTGCAACTCTGTTACTGTAGAAAATATAACAAAGTTCATATTTATCAAGACCAATGGGAAATACAGTTCAGCTTTAGACGAGTAGTCAGTAGTGTGTACAATAAAAACAATTCCACCATAAGTTTTACAAACCTCAATACATGATATAGCTGCTTCCCTTACACCATGATTTGGATCATTCAACATCTGCAAAATCTGATAATCCAAAAAAACCTAGTAAGTTTCTCTCTCTTTTTAATGTAGAATAAGTGAAATTACTGCATACCAAAGGTATCTATTCTACACTCAAAAGATAATAAATGACCATACAGGAGGAAGAATAGCACGTTGAAGCGGGAGCTCAGTAGATGCAAAAAGACCGATTGCTGATGTGACTGTACGTGCAAACTCTTCCCGAACTCTCCAGCTTTTGTGTGTCCAAGCATAAGACCCTGCTCTCTCGACAATGAGAGTTGGTGAAGAAACCTGAGACAAACAATCATAATTCATAAACTAAGTGCATTTTTATTTTTTTGTGGTTTACCCTTTTTCTTCCACAAATATGTCAATAGACTAAGAAAGAAGCCTAACATGGCATGGCAGTATGATCTACACAAAGAGACAAACAAAAGTTGGTACTGTGGTCTTAACATTAAGTAAAATGCCCTTCATCCATGGCATAAAACAAACAAGAAATTACAAAGCATCTCAATATAGGAATGAGAGAATGCCTACCAAGTTCAATGCCCATGCCATTAGTCTATAAATCTAACTAACCAGCAATTCTGTTGGATAACAACCCCTCCCCCCTCCCTCCTCCCCGGGCTGTGATATACTATATCATCCCCGTATATAACAGTTTCGTACCTTCTAGCCACTATATGTGTGTCAGAAACACAAAATTCACGTAGGTTTTGCAATGACCATATGATTTGTCTAACAGCGAAATCTCAATAGGAATGTCTAACTCATCAAAAAATAAAATTGAATTCGTGTTAATTGATATTGTATGTGCAAGCACAATAAAAAAATCCATGAGCTATCTTCTTATCCATTGTGAAATGATAAGAGAACTGTGGTTTTTAATTCTTGTTTTGTTTGCAGTAGCTTCGTGTTCCCTAGAAAGGTGGGGGATCTTCTCTATGTTTGGCAAGGAACTCAGGTTGGGAGGAGAAGAAAGGTGTGATATTTGGCTCCCTTGGTTTTAATATGAACAATCTAAGGTAAAGAAATAGGAAGAACTTTTGCTGAGAAAGAATAGTCCATTTGAGAATCAAGAGTAAAAGTATGTCCTCTTTGTATAGTTGATTTTCAAGCAGGTTAACCCATTCTTGAACTAAATTTTAGATTTTGTGGAGACTCTTAAATAGTTTTAGTTATATAATTGATTTAGCTTTTGTGCACACCTATACGAGGTGCACCCTTTTGGTGCCTCATTTTTTATATCCTTTATCATACTTTATCCAATTAAATATATACATATATTCAAAATCGAGGTTGTGAGTTATGATTATAAAGGCACATTCGCTTTAGCAATTAGACAGTAGACATATATACACAGCATCTCACAGGGAATCATGGAATTCTAATTTTGTGGAAGTTTATTAAACCTGATGTACCAAGGTTTACGAATTTCAGGCGTGGTCCCAATTCTTACCCACTGACTTTTTATAAGTAACAAGTACGTATTACAAATAAAGATGCACCAAGGGGATGCCGCCCAAGTACAAAGCACTAGATCACCCACTGATTTTAAGCTTTTCCAACAACTAAAGCATACAAAAGGAACAATGGGGGGTGGAGGGAAGGCAAGAAATCAAAGTAAAAAATACATACTCTTGGCACTCTTGAGAAAATAAGGAATGAAAGGAATCAGGATTATAGCTTACACCTTGTAAACTCCACCAAATACACAAAACAAACAAAAAATGCTTAACTACATATGCACTAAACATAAAATTCTCCTACTCTTGTTACATAACTTATATCATATATATGATTGCATAAAAGGTCATACTCAGCGATGGAAAATGACAAGGCATTGAATGAAAAATAAGTTAAAGAATAAAAGAATTTAACATTATTATTTATTAGGAATAATGGTTTTATTGAGATTTTAATGTTTAATTGAGATTTAATTATTGCAGTTTCATTTTTTGTAACTTCAATTAGAGTTTCCTATGATACATATATATATGACTTTCTGTAATGGATTTATCAGACTTGGCTTGACTTTTGCCATTGTTTAGTTTTTTTTTCCCTTTCGTTTGTTCCAATCTTTTCTACCATCAAGCCTCATCCAATGCACTGCCTACCAGACTTTCTGTAATGGATTTATCAGACTTGACTTGACTTGACTTGACTTTTGCCATTGTTTAGTTTTTTTTTCCCTTTCGTTTGTTCCAATCTTTTCTACCATCAAGCCTCATGGTGATACTGATTAGTGATTCACTTACTTGCACCCGCACCACAAAGGTTGGGGGAAGATAGCATTCATTAGTCATCACCATCATGTCTCATATAGGTGATCACATGTATATCAAAATTGAATGTTTCTAGTCTAAAACTATAAATATCTCTATTAACTACATAGTGGAACAATAATGGAATTAAACAAACATGATTACCAGCCAAAATCAACATCCGCTGACTTGAGAAAGTTCAAAAAAAAAAAAAAAATATTCAAGATATTTAAATCAAATCAAAAGATTTGATTCGAAATCATTGATTCAACAGATTTATACAGCAGTGCACTTCAGTTAAGTTCATTTCCAAATATGAAAGAAATTTAAAAATAAAATAAAATAAAATACCTATACGCACTTAACCCGAATTTCAGTTCACCAAAATTCAACTATTAAAATAAAAATATTGTAATCAACAAACACTGGAATTCACCCCCAAAAAATAAAAAATAAAAATAAATTCAACAATTTCGAACCCTGCATGTATGCAATTTGGCCCAAACGACCATAATTAGATCACATATTTACTAAAACGAAATATATATCCACACGCATTAAAGAAAAGGAGTGTGCGAGCGAACCTCCATGAGAGTGAGCAAGAGGCGCCTAGCAGCGTCACGAACGGGCTGTTTAGCATCGCCTAAACGCTCAACAGTGGCAGGAACCAAGGCATTGAAGTGAAGCTTCAAGTGCTCGCCGGAGAGAACAGCGGCGGAGGCAAGAGCCTGAAGAGCACCTTGAGAAACCCTAAAATTGTTGTCCTTCAAGAGATCCAAGCAACAGTCGACGAGAGAAGTGACCTCCGACGACGACAGGCTCTTTCTGGAGGCTTCTAGAAGTTGGTGCAGGCGCTCAACACCAGCCATTCTCTCCTTGGTGTCCTTGGCTCGAGCCATCTCCAGCGCCTCCTCCATTGCCGCAATTTTCGAAGATTTAGGGTTTCTCTGGTTGGATCTGGCGGCGGAGGGCTCAGATCTGCGGTGGAATGAGCGGTTCGAGTCGGTGAATTTGGCGGAGAAACAGTGTGAGAGAGAGTGTGGGTCTGTGTGTGTGAAGAGAGAGAGAGAGAGAGAGAGAGAGAGAGAGAGTAAAATGGGGGTGGGAAGCTTTTGCCAAATCAACGGAGGAGAGAAGATATATCTATCTGGGTTCGGGTAGTAATTGCGAAATTTACCGAATCATATTTGTCGTAATTTACACGCACTGTACCAGAGTGCACTGAGACCTCCTAACCCGTGTAATAAGCCCAGTCCACCGCCACAAACATGATTAAAAAATAAATAAATAAATCTCCAATTTCTTTTAATAATTGGTTTTCCGAACGCACCTCCGTAATTGAGAGGGTAATTTATATGAAAATTGGGCCGAGCTAGGTAAATGGGTTATTATGGGCCGCAGTACGAAGGGCCGAGTAGAATGGCCGTATAAGTTACTCCGGTCTTATGAATGTTTTGGAGTTAGTCCGGTCCTAGAGTTGAACCGGTCTTGACATGTTAGTTCGGTCTAACTGTACCATGAGTTGTATATGAGAAGCCGAAGTAAGGAGTAAAGGGAAGAACCGAACTAAGTATAGTCCGGCCTACTCTGCAGCTCAGCATAGCTAAGATTGCTTCGGTCATGATGGAGTTCGGCCGTGGTAATAACCATCTCACTTGGTTTAAGCAGTGAGGGAGTGTTGGAGGATAAGGATTATTCTTCAGGAGGTTAAATCCTAGGAGGACTCTGTGTAGAGGAATAGAAGTCCTACTAGGATTGTGCCACGCGAAACCTATAAAAGCTCACAAACATTACGTTGGGAGAGGTAACACACAACTTTGCTTTCTGAATTCACAGAGCTTTGTCCATTTGTCAAGTTTGCTGACTTAGGCATCGGAGAGGTTTCCGGCACACACCCGCCGGCTAGCTCACGTTTGTGTTTTCAGGTGATAAGGTGACGTCGTACGGAAGAGCACAGACTTGGTCAACAGGATTATACAATAAGGTTTATTTCTTTCCCGTACAATTGGCGCCGTCTGTGGGAAGTTACAGACAGAACAAAACCTCTTGACTAAAGCTTCTCTTTACAAAACAATGGCGCACAATAAAGAATTGCCACATTCCGCCATCGACGGGCAAACTCCAGATGGGGGCACAAGGCGCGAAAGACTACCTTCTATCCCTCCCATGGCGGACTTGGAGCCCCAACGACATAACTCCAGGAGGGATGCTAGGGGGAGGCAGACTAACAGCCCCCGTCACTCTCGTTCACAAAGTCCTGACAGGCAAAGGCAGAGGATTGATCCTCAAGCTCTGGAAGACCGCGTGAAAGAGCAAGATGAATTGATAAGGAAGATGGCGGCGGACATGGAGGCCTTGAAACGCTAGATGAAGAAAAGAGAAGTGGCGACAGGAGAGGGGCACAAAAACAAGACGCCCCATCGCCACTCAGAAAATCGTAGTAGGAATACCACACCCTCGCAAGGAGAGAGTAGAAGCCTCAGGACAGGCGATACTCAATCCTGGTCACTCGTCACTCCAGGTCTGAGAGAACGAGATCTGAAAGATCATACACTGAAGGAAGCACGTATTGGCCGCGGAGGGCTCGGATCTGGTTGGATCTGGCGACAGGCTCCATCTCTAGCGCCTCCTCCATTGCCGCAATTTTCGAAGATTTAGGGTTTCTCTGGTTGGATCTGGCGGCGGAGGGCTCGGATCTGGTTGGATCTGGCGACAGGCTCCATCTCTAGCGCCTCCTCCATTGCCGCAATTTTCGAAGATTTAGGGTTTCTCTGGTTGGATCTGGCGGCGGAGGGCTCGGATCTGGTTGGATCTGGCGACAGGCTCCATCTCTAGCGCCTCCTCCATTGCCGCAATTTTCGAAGATTTAGGGTTTCTCTGGTTGGATCTGGCGGCGGAGGGCTCGGATCTGGTTGGATCTGGCGACAGGCTCCATCTCCAGCGCCTCCTCCATTGCCGCAATTTTCGAAGATTTAGGGTTTCTCTGGTTGGATCTGGCGGCGGAGGGCTCGGATCTGGTTGGATCTGGCGACAGGCTCCATCTCCAGCGCCTCCTCCATTGCCGCAATTTTCGAAGATTTAGGGTTTCTCTGGTTGGATCTGGCGGCGGAGGGCTCAGATCTGCGGTGGATTGAGCGGTTCGAGTCGGTGAATTTGGCGGAGAAACAGTGTGAGAGAGAGTGTGGGTCTGTGTGTGTGAAGAGAGAGAGAGAGAGAGAGTAAAATGGGGGTGGGAAGCTTTTGCCAAATCAACGGAGGAGAGAAGATATATCTATCTGGGTTCGGGTAGTAATTGCGAAATTTACCAAATCATATTTGTCGTAATTTACACGCACTGTACCAGAGTGCACTGAGACCTCCTAACCCGTGTAATAAGCCCAGTCCACCGCCACAAACATGATTAAAAAATAAATAAATAAATCTCCAATTCTTTTAATAATTGATTTTCCGAACGCACCTCCATAATTGAGAGGGTAATTTATATGAAAATTGGGCCGAGTTAGGTAAATTGGCTATTATGGGCCGCAGTACGAAGGGCCGAGTAGAATAGCCGTATAAGTTACTCCGGTCTTGTGAATGTTTTGGACTTAGTCCGGTCCTAGAGTTGAACCGGTCTTGACATGTTAGTTCGGTCTAACTGTACCATGAGTTGTACATGAGAAGCCGAAGTAAGGAGTAAAGGGAAGAACCGAACTAAGTATAGTCCGGCCTACTCTGCAGCTCAACATAGCCAAGATTGCTTCGGTCATGATGGAGTTCGGCCATGGTAATAACCATCTCACTTGGTTTAAGCAGTGAGGGGGGTGTTGGAGGATAAGGATTATTCTTCAGGAGGTTAAATCCTAGGAGGACTCTGTGTAGAGGAATAGAAGTCCTACTATGATTGTGTCACGCGAAACCTATAAAAGCTCACAAACATTACCTTGGGAAAGGTAACACACAACTTTGCTTTCTGAATTCACAGAGCTTTGTCCATTTGTCAAGTTTGCTGACTTAGGCATCGGAGAGGTTTCCGGCACACACCCGCCGGCTAGCTCACGTTTGTGTTTTCAGGTGATAAGGCGACGTCGTACGGAGGAGCGCAGACTTGGTCAACAGGATTATACAAGAAGGTTTATTTCTTTCCTGTATAATTGGCGCCGTCTGTGGGAAGTTACAGACAGAACAAAACCTCTTGACTAAAGCTTCTCTTTACAAAACAATGGTGCACAATGAAGAATTGCCACATTCCGCCATCGACGGGCAAACTCCAGATGGGGGCACAAGGCGCGAAGGACTACCTTCTATCCCTCCCATGGCGGACTTGGAGCCCCAACGACATAACTCCAGGAGGGATGCTAGGGGGAGGCAGACTAACAGCCCCCGTCACTCTCGTTCACAAAGTCCTGACAGGCAAAGGCGGAGGATTGATCCTCAAGCTCTGGAAGACCGCGTGAAAGAGCAAGATGAATTGATAAGGAAAATGGCGGCGGACATGGAGGCCTTGAAACGCTAGATGAAGAAAAGAGAAGTGGCGACAGGAGAGGGGCGCAAAAACAAGACGCCCCATCGCCACTCAGAAAATCGTAGTAGGAATACCACATCCTCGCAAGGGGAGAGCAGAAGCCTCAGGACAGGCGATACTCAATCCTGGTCTTCCAGAACTCGTCACTCCAGGTTTGAAAGGACGAGATCTGAAAGATCATACACTGAAGGAAGCACGTATTGGCCCTCGCATTCGCACCAAACCAGATCTAGACAGACGGAATTACCCAGATCATCCGACTTACGAACCGTGCTCGAAGCAAAGGCACGATGCAAGGAGGATGCCAGGGCAAGGGATCCACACAGAGTTTCGGCCTTACAACGGTTGGCTCCTCGGACGCATGGAAGCGTCGAGATTGGAATGCCAATACCGCGCCCTGCCTACGAACCAACGGACAAAGCATTAGCAAGGCTACAGACTTCGCCGTTTGTTCCGGCGATTGAAAACGCAACCCTACCATCAGGCTTCATTCAGCCCAAATTCACTACATATGAAGGGAATACGGACCCCTACTCACACTTGAGCCACTTTCGCCAGGTTATGACCGTGTACAGGCGAAACGAGGCCTTAATGTGTATACTCTTCCCATCAAGCCTTGGCGACCTAGGCTTGACTTGGTTCGAGAAACTTCCAGAGGGCAGCATAGCCTATTGGGCACAATTGGCAGAGGCGTTCGTAACAAGGTTCCGAACAAACACTAAAACCCCGGTGGAGATCGACCAGCTACTCTCCATCGACATCTCTCCATCGACATGGGTGAAAAAGAGACCCTCAGATCTTACAACAGTCGCTACTGGGAGACATTCAATCAGATAGGGGACTGCCCCACCAATCTCGCCATTGCACAATACAAAAGAGGCCTCCCGGTCGAGAACAGACTAAGGGACTCAATCACTATGACACCACCCCTCACTATGGAAACCTTGATAGAAAGAGTGCATCATCACATCAGGGTAGAAGAGGATGGCGCACGTGCCAAAGTAAAATCTGGTGCGACCGTAGTACCAGAAAAGAAAACCTCAGCAAAGATCAATGCAGTAGATCGTCAGAACAGAAACGGACGTGGCAGACGAGATAACGGAGAAGACCCAGATAAAAGATGGTTAAGAATCCACACTGCCATAACCACGATGTTCAAAAAACCGATATATCAGATTCTGAGTGAAATAAGAGATGAACCTTTCGTCAAGTGGCCAGCCAAGCTAGGAGAAGCTCAGAAGGACTATGACGAAAGATCACGGTGCACCTTCCATAAAGAAAAGAGACACCGCACTGAGAATTGCACACCATTGAGGCAACACCTGGAGGAATTGGTGGCAGCAGGACACTTGGATAAGTACATTGAAGGAGGAACGCAACCAGCCCCCAGGATCACAATAACCCCAATGGGATGCCAATCGATGCCCCGCCTCAAGGCATTATCAATGTAATACATGGAGTCTTTGAACCTGAGCGTGTATGCGAGCTCAGAGGATCAATCAAAAAGGCTAAACATTTAAGAGATGTGCTAAGCGCCCAACCAGCCACAAAAAAGGGGAAGACAAAGGCAACAAACGTCATGTCTTTTTCAGATAAAGACTTAGAACGAATATACTGCCCTCACAATGATGCCCTGGTCATCACTCTCCGAGTCAAAGATTTTGACGTCAAGCGGATTCTGATTGACCAGGGTAGTTCATGTGAAATCATGTACTACGAAACATTTAAACAACTGAAGTTACAAGACAAAGACTTGGCGCCTGCTGTATCTCCCCTAATTGGATTCAACTCCATGCCAGAATGGCCCGTCGGCAAAATAATTCTTCCAGTTAGTGCAGAAAGCGTGACGAAACAAGTGGAGTTCTGGGTATTGAAGGTCCCCTCTACTTACAACATCATCCTGGGCAGAACATGGCTGCATGCCATGCGATCGGTGGCGTCATCCTACCACCAAGTAATGCAGTTCCCCAATGACACCGGTATAATTGAAGAAGTCTATGGAGATCAGATCATGTCGAAGCAATGCTTCGTCACAGTAAATGGCAGCCGCGCTGCCAAAGGATATGTTCATTCGGTGGAAGAACTAGAGAGTAATGAGTTATTCGCAGATGTTGGCAAAGCGGCGGATCAGAAAAACAGTGGAAGACTTGGTAGAGGTAAAAATAGATGAAAAGAACCCGGATAAGTTCTTTTTGCTCGGTTCGTCGCTGTCCAGCACTGAGAGATTAGAGGTCTTGGAATTCTTAACCTCTAACATCGAAGTGTTCGCCTGGACACCGTATGACATGCCAGGCATTGATCCAAACTTCATTTGTCACCAACTCAATATCCACCCATCCGCCAGACCAGTTATTCAGCGCACCCGCAGATCGGCACTTCACCATGCCAAAATAGTGGCAGAAGAAGTAGGTAACCTACTGGAGGCAGGAGCAATTAGAGAGGTGCACTACCCAAAATGGATCTTCAACACGGTCGTAGTGCCAAAGAAGAATGGCAAATGGCGTGTCTGCGTCGACTACAAAACAGTCAACAAGGCGTGCCCAAAAGACAGCTTTCTTCTACCACGGATAGATCAACTGGTAGACCTAACGGCAGGGCACAACCGACATAGCTTTCTGGATGCATACAGAGGCTACCACCAAATCGCCATGCATGAATCAGACCAGGAGGTCACATCCTTTACAACTCCAAGAGGACTATACTGTTACAATGTCATGCCCTTTGGCCTAAAGAACGCAGGGGCAACGTTCCAACGGATGGTCACCAAGATGTTTGAACCATTGTTAGGCAGAACAATGGAAGCTTACATCGACGACATGGTGGTCAAAAGCAAGGATGAGAATGACCATCTCAAGGACCTAGGCGAGATGTTTGAGATCCTAAAAAAGCACAAGTTACGCCTCAACGCGTCAAAATGTGCTTTCGGAGTAGGATCTGGCAAATTCCTAGGCTTCTTGGTGACCAACCGGGGCATAGAAGCAGATCCTTCTCAGATCAAAGCGATTCAGGAGCTGGAGAGGCCAAACTCAGTAAAAAAAGTACAACATCTCACCGGCATGGCGGCCGCACTCAAACGGTTCATAAGTCGATCGTCAAACAAACTACGACCATTCTTTCAAGCTTTAAAAGCCAAGTTCGAATGGGATGAAGAATGCGACCAAGCACTGGAAAGCCTGAAAGAGTACATGTCTTCTCCACCATTGCTGGTCACTCCAATACCAGGAGAAGAACTCTTCCTATACCTTGCAGTCTCTCAGCAAGCAATTAGCGCAGTATTGGTCCGTGCAGAAGGAATTCAACATCTGCTCATCTATTATGTCAGCAAGACATTACTGGGAGCTGAAACAAAGTACTTACCATTGGAAAAACTTGCATTGGCCTTAATGATGGCCTCCAGGAAATTGGCACACTACTTTCACGCCTACACCATAGTTGTTCTCACAGCTTTTCCACTAAAACCTTTGTTTGAGAGGGCGAACTTTTCTGGGCGAATTTTGAAGTGGGCAGTAGAGCTGGGACAATTCGACGTCAAGTTCCAACCTAGAATCGCAGTAAAGGCCCAATCTTTGGCAGACTTCGTCGCAGAATTTACTCCAGGAAGTCATCATATCTGCCCAGTCGACCTAACTGACGCAACCGAACTAGGGATGGAAGTTGACGCCGGAATAGCGCAACCCCTAGCAGAAGGTACTCAGTCAGACTCCAAGGCAGACCAGACTATAGACAGCAAGGAAGAAGCAAACCAAGCTACAA